TAGCTGACGATTCATGCTATTGATTATATTTGCATCGAGTTACCGACAAGGATTTGACGGATATTGCTTTGATACAAACCAACAACTAACTAATGGTCTCTTCATCAGTTATTCAACCGATGAGCCCTGGACACTGAACAAATAGGACACCTGCATCATAAAAACGACGACCATGATTAATTTCTGATGGAGTTTTCTTTGATTAATTTATGATGAAGTTCCCTTTGAATTACAAAAATGGCAAAAAAATGATGGTTTGCTTTCAAAATTTTTTAAAAGTGATGATTACATTGTATCCGTAAGATGTCGGTAAATCAATGTCATTTGAAGTTCCATCGGTTAAACAATTAATACAGACAATCTTTTTAGCTAAGTCCATAAAAAAACATTGACTCATAAAACAATTAATAAGCGACGGGTTTTTTTGTCAATAACCGACGAAATGAGGCCGTGGGAAATGCACAACCTTCCTGCAGTGTATAATGATGTGTTTATGATTATTATTAGTAAAGATCATCACCTATGAGTCCATTACTAAAGTCATTTTTAGATGATCATTTTTGTTCCCTTAGATGATAATTCATTTTTGTTAAACTATTTACTCTACATATTTTTGTGTATCCTACCAAATCATGTTTAATTTGTAGCTTATTTAAGTTAACAAAGTTATTTAACATTTTAATTAAAATAAATTCTTAATACACACACACACACATGTACACATGTGAAGAAATGTAATAAATTGCATAATCTTACTTATTTTATTTAATTTTACATAAACTATACGTTAAAGGCTTTAATATAGATAATGACATTCATTAAAACTTAAATTTTTATGGTTGTCAAAGGAAAAAATTATCTACAACTAAGTATGTGCCATCTTAGTTAATAATTAGTCGTGTGTTAATGATTACATAGTTAGCCTTATGCCATATTTTTTTAACCAAAAGTAAACATTCTTATTTCATAGTTGAAACTAAAAAAATTAGGAATCTCAAGAAAATAACTAAAGAAATTGAAGGAAAAATATTGATTACATAGTTAGCCTTATGCCATATTTTTTTAAGCAAAAGTAAACATTTTTATTTCATAGTTGAAACTAAAAAAATTGTGAATCTCAAGAAAAGAACTAAAGAAATTGAGGGAAAAATAGGATTCATAGAAACCCAATGCCCAAAAGGCCACATATGTAAGATCTTAAAAAAACTACTATTAGCCTATCTCTAACTATGTAAGATCACTAATAACTTAGAAGTAATTAATAAATACTTTGATAAAATACATACTACTTTGATGAACGCCTTCCCGCCTTTACTTCACCATTTCAATTATGGTTAATTAAAGTGTGTGTGTGTGTGTGTGTCTATATCTAAAATCTTTGGTATCATTAAGATTATATAAGATATTCTCATTGATAGATTTTTACATTTATTAAGGTCTTGATACATTGAGCGGAAAAATATTAAGTTTATGACGGAATCAATATATTATTTGTCAAATTATGTTGAGTCTTAGAAGTAGGTCGTAAGAGATAGAAAGATAATTCGAATAAAAAAATTGTAGAATAATAGCTAGAGTCATAATGTTTTAGATGATTAAGTTTAATAAGGATATGCAGATATCTCTGGATCAATAAATTGATTTTATTGATCTAATTGATGGTTACATTAAGGAATACATTAACTTAATTAAAATGATAAGGAAATCACTATTGTTGTTTATAACTAAATTTTAGTGGATTAAAGAGTAGCTTCTACGTAATTAATATGTATGTATGTGTTTGTGTGTGTGTGTGTGTGTGTGTGTGTGTGTGTGTGTGTGTGTGTGTGTGTGTGTGTGTGTGTGTGTGTGTGTGTGTGTGTGTGTGTGTGTGTGTGTGTGTGTGTGTGTGTGTGTGTGTGTGTGTGTGTGTGTGTGCAAGAACTACTTTTAACCAAATAAGCAAATTATATATAAATTCTAAGAAACTTTTGGTCATTTTTCTTTGATGGTAAAAATAATATCCCTAAAGCTTATCTAGAAACTTTTAGAAAATAATTGAGTGACATTGACATCAATCTACACTTTGAAAGTTAGTTTGGATAGAGTGGTCGTAAAAATATCCATAAATATAGGTTCGCCTAATAATTTAATACAAGCAAGTAGATCAAATTAATGGGTATGAAACTTAAGGTGAGAAAATAATATTTAAACGAAGTATTTTTTATTATAAAAGACAACATTAAAGATTTTTTTGATAAAAAAAATATGCCAACATACTTCTATTTTCATTTGTGTTTAATGAAAAAAATAGAATTATGTTAGGATATAAAAAATTGCTCTAATTGTTATTTAATATTAGTAATCAAATTTATGAAAATTTTGTCAAATTATTGAGTGATATTAACAACCATCTACTATAGGAAAGATAGTTGAGATATAGAAACATTAGAAACATCAATACAATAACGAAATCCGAGTGAACAGATGATTGAATATATAAATGTATGAAGCTTAAGAAGACAAAATAATATTTAAAAGAAGTAATTTATCATTAAAAAAAACAAAAATTCAAAGCTTATTTGTTAATCCTCTTTTAAAACTATTAACCATTCAAGCTTTTGACAAAAATAAACTTGAGTAATCTTCCTAATATTTAAGTTTAATTAAAGAATAATTTTAATGAATAATTAGAATAATATTAGGATATTGAAATTTGGCCTAATAGCTATAGAATTTGTGGACATAAGAGCAAAATATGGAGGATGTGTACACAATATTTTTGTAGTAATAGAAAGCTGAAAGTGTTTTAAAGAAGTTTTATCTCCCATCAGCAATTTAAAAAGAAAATTGATCTTCAACTTTTATACTACTATGGGCATAATATTTTATTTATTTTATTTTTTTCCTTTCATGTGTGATTATTTATTTTGTGCTTTTTTTATTTTCAATTAAATTATGAAAATATGCACAAAATGGTTATACTTAAAAAATATTAGATCATATTTGCATTGAATCAAATCGTGACTAATTTTTCTCATGCCTAAATACTTTTTAGTTAAAATGGAAGTTACAAAAAAGGCTCCAAGAAAAAACAAAAAAATGGACATATGGGAAGCAAATTTAGTTATACTCTAGTTTCTAATCCGAAGCATCATAGGTAGGAAAGACTTAGATGGGGATCTAGTCACACATAAGGTATTCATACAAAGTTATTTTGTATCTCTACGTAATACTTTCTAGCACTAAGTGAATAGAAAATATTTTTAATTTCTAATAGGATACTTCATCAAATATAATAAAAATAGTTAAAATTTCAATCAGATTAAAGTCATGTAAAGGAGGTTAATTATAAGAAAAATGTATAACAATTAAAATAATTATGCTTGAGTTTTTCTACAACAATTTTTTCCTCAAAGGAAAAGATGACATGTTTTATGAAGACAGAGGAAGGAGGTGAAAAAATAATTTTCAGGAAAAATCAAAATCTAAAGACTAATCATAAATGATGGGCACAATCTCCTGAGTTTATTTAAGTGGTGAGAGAATAGTTAGAAGAGAATCATTGTCAGTAAGAGAAATTTGGTAGATACATGTAAATTTGAATCATTGATTAATAATGAAGAAATAATGCAAACTGAAAAGTTAGATGTAAATTGTAATATTGAAGAGCATGTTGAAGACTAAAGTTTTAGTATGACTCATTCTAATTACTATGCTCTTCGTTTATGTTATTAGAAGAATGATTAATAATAATAAAAGAAGAAAGAGCCTTTATAAATGGTTTCTTCTATATGTTATATGTATGTTTGACCCACCAAAGCAAACAATAAAAGACAAGATAATGATATCTTAAGCAGCAAGTTTGATGCAACTTATTTAACAAGGAAAATAATGCATTCATATCTTTTTTACCCATAATGGATGAGATAAAAGTAATAAATATTGCATATAAAAAATGCTTAATTTATACCAATAAAAAATTTTATATTAAAGGAAGGGCTTTATTTGCTTCTCCTGATGAATACTAAGGGATGCATCCTAGCATACAATGAGGACACTTTATCTAATAATAATAAATTTACTAGAAGATAAATGTGATTAGATAGGCTAAATGGGCTCATTGTATGCATGGATGCTAGGCTAAATGGGCTCATTGTATGCATGGATGCTAGGCTAAATGGGCTCATTGTATGCATGGATGCTAGGCTAAATGGGCTCATTGTATGCATGGATCTTTAATAGATAAATGTTGCGTTTTATGTATAAAAGTTTGATTAGCTGCATGCACTTTTGCATATTTTGTTGTTTTTTATTTGCTTGTTCCTTAGTTTTTCTTAATTCATAAAACATAAGCTTTAAATTTCTGAATTTTTACAATTTCTTCAAGATGTTATGGGTATATAAATTGGCTTAATTGACACTTCTAAAAGTTTATTTTTGTGTATAATGTCTTTGTTTATTTATTTTTTCAGAAAATAATAACACAATAACTTTACGTGTCAATTCGAGTCAGCGGGTCAGGTTACAGTTTGACCAAAAAATGATCTGACCTAAAAAAGGTCAAACCGACTCGACCCGAATAATAATTGGGTCAAAAACTAAAACCTGAATATGACCCAAAACCGAGTTGACCCGCTAAACCAAACCCGACCCAAACTTTCGTGCTTATTTGGGCCATGTTTTGATTTTCGGGTTCAAACAAACTGACCCCAACCCAAATAATAAACAGATAGAATTCTCTTACTCGAACCCAGCTCGAAAAAAGTTTGGGTCAACCTGAACCCAAAATTTTTTAGTCGAGTTCGAATCATGTTGGCGTGTGTGATCAATTTTTGACAACCCGAATAACTACCAAAATAAAAAGTTATACCAACTGTGAAATTGGAATAATGAATCCTAAAAACAAAAATCTAGCTATTTGTTGGGATATGATTACTTATGTACAACAATTCTACATAGGTAAACTCCTGTATTTTAAAAAAGAAAATGACATCCATGTATAACTATGATAAACTTACGATGCATAAGAGGTATATCCTGCTGATCATCGCCCATGGCATTGACAAGTGAAGTTCTGCTACAACTAGAAGATGATTCGCAGCTCGTACGTAAGACTTGACTCCCTAAACTGTATCCCTGTAATTTATATATAAAAAAAAACATAAATTGGAAAGTAATTCAATAAAACAGCTATTTGAATGCGGAATCTTTTTTTCCAACTCTTGTGCCAGCCTGTGTGAACTGAACCATGTACTTATCATCCCAGAAAACGTCAAAAGAAGAAATCCTCCTTTAGCTATTGGCAACTATAAATACATGTGAAAAATGGCCTTTAATGTTTCCATATTGGGATATGTTGTTGTTTAAGTATTAATATCATTTGTCTTACAGTTTTGAAAGTTGGTCATGTTTATAATGTTTTGTACATCAAACGAAACTCTTTTTCAGCATATTTATTTAGTCTGTTAGAAGTTAAGATGACCTTGATCCCTAAATGTAATAAATGCTGCTGAAAAAATGGTTAAATGTTGTGGAGAATTGTTCTAAAGATCTTGATAACAACTTTATAAAATATGGAACAAATAAATTATTTTGTTAGGAAGTTATAAGGAATAAATTATTTCTTTTCATAACTCCTAACACTTTCTCTCAAGTTGAAATATGGTTGAAAATCACGTTCAACTTGAATTTAAAACATCAAACAATGGACGATGAAAATCCTGTAAAATAGAACTTGAAGTATTTATCCTGTATTGCGGTTGTATTTGGCTGTAGTTATTACAGTGTCTGTAAATAAGAAGAAGGTTCATGCAAATAATGCTGCAAGAAAATTTGCATTATCTGTAGTAATCTGCCGCCTTCCGCCTACCTTCAATGTGATTTTCAATCATGAAGTTTTAGGTAATAGAAAATAGTTTATTCCTTATAAATTCCTAACATATTTGTTGTTCAGAAGCATTTTCTGAATGCGTAGCAGTCGATTAAAACTAATTCTCATATATTTTACGAGAGTTATGTAAATGACTGTAGCTAGTATTATGAAGAAGAGATGTGGAACCTCAAGTTTTTGAAGTGGAATTGACTGAGGAAGAGCTCCCATATTCACGGAAAGCAAATTCCCACAATGCCCACATCTCACTGTCACAATCGCTGACAAATTGCTCCCTGGAACACTCACCTGAAACATTAAATAAAGACTGCATTTCATCATTTGAGCAAATAGATTACATTGCAATAATCTAAAGCATTATAGCTAAAAAGTCTAAATTCGAGTTAAAAGCTGCATGCTATTAATTCCTCCCCCCTCCTTTTCTGCGCACACCCTCCTGACCAACTTCTGCTCCATAATAAATAAAAGCAAGCGCAGATGAAACAATGCGAAGAAAGAGAGTGGAAAATGATGTGACAGAAGAGCCATTACATGTATTTCTACCACCATCTCTCTTCCTTTCTCTCTTTATCTCCTCCCACATTCACATCAACAGCAAATATCGCATGAAAGCAAGAATTCGATGGTAAATGATTAGTTCTTTCAGATTTTGTCCGGACGTTCAGCATGCACTCACACAGAAATCAAGATGGTTTTTTGGTTTGCTTGAATGTTTAAATTTCATAATTTGTTTAAATTGTTTTCATCAAAAGTTTAGATTTGGTGGTATTGAAAAGTAATTATTGCTCTTAGAAAAGTTCTTCAATACTATGATTTTTCACATATAAAGATGTTAGAAGGGTACTACTGCATTTAAATATATTGTCTTTCAAAAAGAGAACATGAACTCAGGAGTGATATGCAAAAGAAAATTTATATTTTAAAAATTAAAAATTGCAAAATAATGAAAAAGTCTTGAGGATATCAGTTTTATCAAGTTGTAGAGTGCTAAGGATGTGCTAAATTATATGCTAGACTATACATTAATTCTTTCATTATGAATTAAGACACTAGAATATGTGTTGTGTGATCCAGAAGCTTAAGTGGGTTCATTTTCTTATTATCTAGTTCTAAGCATCTAGTAACTAGACTGCAAGTTGTATAATTTATAATTTCATAGAACATTACTTCAATCTATTAATTGAAAATAGTATTTAAATTTATCAAGTCTTACTGTTAGTTTAATAATTTCAGACCAAGTACCCTAAATGTTGCTCTTCTTAAATAGAAGAAAAATGTTGCTCTTCCTAAATAGAAGAAATGGAAAGTGTTCATCTTTGAGAGAGAAACTAGTGACAATTGTGATTAATTAGAAAATGAAATCATATTAATGATGATTTCCCCAATAGTTTCCTTGAAATCCAAAACCTCTTAAAGGCAACATCTTTCCACAGAAGATGGATACCCTAATGAAACTAGTAAGATAGAAACCAAAAATATTCTTCCTATAGGTGTGCAACTATAGCTCCATTTAGTAATTATAGACAATATAACGAAACTAGTAAGATAGAAACCAAAAATATTCTTCCTTCTTTGATCTACAAAAATCGCCAAATTTATGCATGCACCTATATGTGTGCACCTATAGCTCCATTTAGTAATTATAGACAATATAACACCCTTCATATACAAAGACCAACTTACCTATATTTTTTGAAGAGAAAAAAAATAAAAAAAAGAGATTTAATCAATGAAAAATACCAAACATGTTCATCTTGCTCTAAAAAAATTTTTAAACAGATTATTATCTGGGAAATTATAGAACGGAAAAGCTTTTGGAATTTAAGATATGTTGTGAGAAAGTATGTATACCACAAGGATGGTATTGCAGAAGTTGCAGTGAACATAGCAAACATTGGCCGGAACAGCAGGAGCAGACATTCTTCAATGACCGCGTTGCGATGCTTCTTTGAATCCTCAAATCTATAGGAGATGATTTGAAAAGCTAATGCTTGCTGTTGTTGGTTTTATATGTTCCAAAAGAGTTAGGTTTGGTTTTTTACTTTTACCTTCTCTTTCTTTCATTATAACTGAGATAACAATGTCAACAATATGCAGGTAATAGTTTTTGGAAGAGGAGATGGATGTGGGGATGATATAATAGATGACAATTATGAAAGTTTAGGTGGTGGGGAGCAGGAAAGTAATGATTGAAGTAATGAGTGGGCAAGTCTGATGTCTCCATTTTCTCCCTCTTATCTTCTGTTTTCTCTCCCTGGATCTCACACTTTCTATGTCCACCCAGCCCATAGGTTAGAAATGGTTTTTCAAACTTAGGTTTTTGTGGAGCTTCTTGACGAAGGATAGGAAAGAGAGGGTTACAGTGGTCCTATTAAATAAGAGGAGAAAAATTAAAGAGGAGTGAAATCGTGAAAGTTTTGTATGAAAAATTTTTGGATATTGTCGTGTTAATTTAGGAATGTAGAGCAACTATAGCTTTTTGTCACATTCTCTATGAAATTTTGAGTAAAACATCTTTGGATAGAATTTTTGCCGATCGAAATTAGTATGAGAAAACATGTCACGATTTAAATACAATGGAGCTGATATTATTCGAAAAAAAATGTAAACATTTAACTTGAAGAAGTGGTTGCAATCTCATGTACATCCTAAAAAATTAGAAAACACACACGAATCTACAATAAAATTATTTCTTAAACTAGATCATCAAATTAATATATATACATATATATATATTGTTTTTTTTATAAAAGGAATGGTCATAGGCTATTATACGAGCCTCCAACCACCCCTAATGTGTCTAACAAATCAAGTATCAACTCCTTAAGACCAACTGTGCCAGAGGGGATTTTAACCCATGACCTGAGGAGTCTTATATCATGGATGTCAACAAGCAGATCGGGGTACGCAGCACAACTATATATATAAAGGATTGTTAAGCGTTGTGTGTATAAATACAACTTACGAGGTAACCTATAAATATCTACATAAAAGTACATATGTGCAAGTCACTCATATTCATGATCATCAACTTTGATATTCTTTGAAAGTTTTTGTTATATATAAAGTAAATTGTCACTTTTATTGTTCATATTGCATGTCGTGCTTTCTATCGTTTATGTTTTAATAAATAGTAGTTAGTTACAGAGTTTGATTTATCAAACTCATCAATTTCTATTTTTGTAAAATAGGTTTTGTATTGGTGTATTGAGAAATTGATAAGAGTCACCTCTCAATTTTCTCCCCGTCAGCCACAAGAGTTTTCGAGAGTGTTTTATTTTTTCTTACTGACACATCTTGAGGAGTGACACTAATCAACTAGTAATTGGTGCAAGATCCGACCATAAACTGTTTCTTCCAGTCTTTTGTCTTATTCTCCAGCTCTAGGATTTGGAGTATGTAATTGGCAAAAAATTGCACAATGCCGTCCTGATCGATCTTTAATGAAAAAAAGTAGTTAAACAAGTTAGTCGACCATAGGATGGCTAAGCGATGGCATAAAACAACGAACAACATAATCATTGTGATTGAATTTATTATGGCTTGGGTTTGAATCACACCATACTGATTGAAAATAAATTTCAACTCGGCCATCATTCCAAATATCCAAATATCTCGATATTTAAAAAGGAAGTTATACCAGATCACATCAAATATATATTTAAATTTAAAATATACTAGAACTTTATTTTATTTAAAATGAAAGAAACAATTATAACACTATTTGAAAAGAAGATATTATATTCAATAGACACAACCATTTATTAAAATTAAAAAAGTGGTTATATTAACTACCTGTGACTAGAAAAAAACAATAAATACCCCCGAACCATTGGGGTAAAGGGGATATTGGTGTAATTGTATACTAAATCCATCAATGATTATAAGTAGGGGTTATTTGATGAATAAATGTCATACACTCTTCTCTCTGAATTTTCATTGGACCTATGTTTTCTCATCTCTGTTACCCCTTTTCTTCCAAACTTTCACACTCAAAACTCTTGGGATATGACCACTACGACAATTCAGAATACAACAATTACTAACATATTCTTAACAAATTTATATGAAATTATCCATTAATTTTAGCATGCAATAACAAGAAATTTTCCATTTGTAATTTTCTCTCTCAACCAATTCAAAGCATGCTTCTCGACATGCCCACATGCTACAAGCCATGCAAATATTTGCAAAATCAGGTGCACATCTAAGGCCCGTGTGCGTTTATTGTTCATTAAAGGCCTCAAATTCGTGAATGAGCACATAAGAAGTCGATGAAAGTGATTAGATAAGCTCAGATATTAGAGAAAAATTTGTAAACATAAGATGTACGCAACGCTGCGTACTTCAGGGAGGTTGTTCAGAGGGCATTGATGGTTATATTCACGTTATACCCCCTGTAGCCTCCCTGTAACCTACCTGTAACCTAGAAATATATGAAAATAGAAGCGCGAAACTTACTAGAAGGTACAGATAAATTAGAGGTATGTTATATTGATGTTACAAGGGGTATAACGTGGATATAATCTTGCAATATCCTCTGAATAACCTCCATAACGTACATAACATTGCGTACGTCTTCCATACTCAATTTTTTCTCCAAATATTAACTACCTTGCATTCAATATAAAGACCATTTTTAAAATACATCATTGATATTGGCTGTTCAGATGTTTTCGGTTTTATTTTTCGTTTTCAACTTTTTCCTTGCACGCTGTTTCTAGTGCAGGATGGCTGGGTGCCACTCTTTTTTGCAGTAGTCTTTGTCTAAGCAGACCATCAGTGCGAAAATAGGCCAGCAATAGTCCGGTCACATGATGTCAGCATACTAAAGTTTATGGTGTGTCATATTGATGGGACGGTCGAAATCCATGAAGTTGTAGAAATCATCGACAAG